TTGGAACTATGCTCAAGGCTGCCTAAAAATATTTTATTAAAATTTTCCGAAAAATTTCTGTTCTTTTCGCTGTTTCAGCACAGAAGCGCTCATGTGAGCATGGAGAGCGTAAGAAAAGCGTGTGAATTTAAGCAACGATTCTGAACACATTAGAATGAGAAATCATCAAAATATTACAAAAGACGTATGGTGGTAGTGAACGAAGAAAGTCACAAGCTGGAGAAATCTGCTAATTTCACAAGAAACATCGAAAAACCACATCACAGGGCGTCACTGATCACGTAAAAATGAGAGAGAGGAATATCTCAGATTGGGTGTCACGACTTGCGAAATCCATTACCTCAAAAACTCGCCTTTCCAAAAAAATAGTTATTCCCCAATTTCAAAGTCTCATGCAAGCTAAACACTGAAATTGCCTTCGTGCTGGAGGACCAGGATTCAATCTCCCACTAAGACAACCAGATCCCTCTGCGATTTGTTCATTCTCTTCGATACTTAACTTGTATTACCAAGAGTGGAATCCGCCGTTTTTTTGCAAGCAATTCTGGAAAAAGGAAACCACTGACAGCCAGTAGTTGCTGCTGACATGTGCTACCACTCGGGCTATTTCCAAAACAAAAAGTGAATATGAACGATGCCAGTGAACAAACATTGTAACACTGGTTAAGTACAAGTTACAGTATACCGACCACTGTTGCGACTGCACTCTTTTCCCAAGTCAAATGTTTCAAAAAATCAGACATTTTGAAAAAACAAAAATAAACCTCGGCTTTTTCCTACTTACTTGGCGAAATTATCAATTCTCAAACATCGCTTAAACAGGAAGTCTGGTACAGCAGAAGCATTATTTAACTTTACAGCTAAGGGATGAAACACAGACTGCTTCCCCAAAAGCTCAACAGATACATGACTTACAATTCCTATGTTTTTCATCTTAATATCTGTTCAAATGTGTTTGAAAAATAAAACAAATTTTACATTAATCATTCAGTGCAAATGAACAATTTATGATTAAGAAAATGAAGCAAAGTTTATGAGAAAAAAAGAAACTGTGCAAAGTGATAAGTAGCAAGTTGTGCGAGGAAAACAAAATTACAATGAACACAGAACAATTGGACAATTTCTCTTTTGAACAAGAACTTCTGCCAGATTTGGCTACATTTTCATTATTACAAATCCATCGAGCACTGACGTGCACGAATGAAGGCGGGAATGTCAAGAATATATGTGCAGTAACAAGAACTGTGGCAAGTTATATATGAGAGGAAGCACCCGTTCACAATAACTGAATATCCCGGTTTGGCAGAACTGTGACACAACCAGGAATTTTTTCTTCCTAGGAAAACAAGAGACTTTTTTCAAAAATTTCGTTAAAAAAAGGGTTTCTCGGCAGTTTTTTCAGAAAAATATCAAAAACTACAAGTCAAAACCCTCGCCGTATCCACAGTCTAAAACAAGCGCAAACAAATGAAAGTAGCTCGAGTGGTAAAAAGCGCCAATAGCAAAAATTTGACTACAGGCAAGGCTACTAATGGTACCCTCGTTTACAAGAGCGGCTTCCAAACAAAACTGATGATGTATGACAAGAAGCTTTTTAAAATGGCATCTCAAAATTATCAAAGAAAAAAAAAACACTCTATTGACATAAGTGGAGATGCTACCATACACCTCTGGAAAAAGAAAAAAGAAAAAAAAAAACGCATCGTCCTCGTCGGGACGGAACTCTCGTGAGCTGTACTACTACTGTGGCAGTGGTCTGATCAGGAATAGCCGTTCATTTGTCTTATCATTTGTATAGATTGGGCTAGCCATGTAATGTTTCAGCAAGTCATCCATTGTTGCAAATGTTCGGGTGCCTATTTTGAACGAATTATTGACCGTATCCACTTGAACCCAGAAATGCTTGTTACGGCCCGTTGCTTTCAGCGAGATCGAATAATCACCGGGCTGAAATATCATTCATACAAAACAAAAAGGATAAAAAATCGCAGCAAATAATGTTAACTGTCATTTTACTGACAACCTTCCCACCCCTTCCTCTCCTCCTCCCCCCTCCCTCACCCTCCCGCTCCCCCATCCACACCTATTCCCTCCCTTCTCTACACTTCTTCCAAATTCTATTCACGACTGCTCAGCAATCCTTCGTTTCTCCATCAATCCTACAGTTTTCATGCGTTTTTTGCATCCATGTAATACAGGAAAAGCATACTGTAAATATTATTCATCCCTAAATCCATATCTTAAATAACAAACCCATTTATCAAAATTCCCC